GTTCTGTATAGTGTGTGATCCTTCAACCTCAACTAGTTTGAGGGTATGACCCTGAATTCTGAAGTTAATTGAGGTTGACAAGCCCACATTTGAGATCCTAAACATATAGGTCTTTCCTGAATACAAAGTAAAAATACTGTTGGTAAAAGCAATTTTGAGTTTTGACAAAGTTGAACGTATCACTTAGAATTTGTGTATATTTGAACATACATATCCTTTAAAAAACAGACTTACCCTGGTTACCAGTGAAGCTAGAATGAGCCTGGCCATTAATAAGGAGGCCATCTGGAAATGCAAGAGATTTTCCAGAATCTAAAGATTGCCTTAATGTCTGAAGATATAATGAAATGAAGTTAACAACAGGAAACAATAGGAATTTTAATTAATTTACTCCAATCTCAGATTCATGTACGCAAATATTCCTAGGGAGTACAAGGCAGTATGAAGGATATTCCGAAATAGTATGTTTATGAGAACGTAAAAAATCTTAGCTTCTCACCTTGTGGCTGGTCTTGTACCAATCCCCAATGAGTAAAGTAAAATCTCCATCAGGGTTTGGATAAGGGATTGGGATGACAGATCTATGATAAACATTGAGTCCTCCAAACCCTCCAGATGCTTTATGCAGTTGAGTTGATGGAAAGTATGTATAAGTGCCAATCTGATCCTTGGCCTGAAATTTGTAAGTGTAATTTGAGTTTGGAGGAATGGGACAGTTGGTTCCCAAAACTCCATCTTGCCATGAATTTTTCCGTTGTTTAATGCCGTTCCTGTTTTGTGACAACAATGTTAAACCATGTTCTCAAAGAAAATCTAAAAACCAAATAATATGAACAAGGAAAAAAGAATTTTAAATCCGTTTCATATGCTATTACTGTATAACACAGCATCTTGAAACAACGTGAGAACTTTAAAAACACATTGGAAATCTTCAAACCTCTTTTCTTTTGTCCACTGATAATAATAATAATAATAATAGAGGTTAAAAAAAAAACAGTTGAACAATCGGCTTAGTGGACAGCAATGCAGCTCTTCGGGCTACTTTTAGGCAAATATGTCTGCTCTTTTTACAAACCTTAGGATATTCAATCAATGTACAGAATATCATCAAAAATCATGAAAACGTAACTTTCTTAAAGCAAAAACCTCCATTGCAACAAAAAGTTGAAGGGATGTACGAAAATTATGGAAGTTAAATAGTAAATGTTCTATATAACACAAATGACATTCTTCTTCTCCAACTCTTTTCATCCAAAAGGTTTGAAATAATAAGATCTATCACGATTAAGCAGCTAGAGACCACAGATTCCCTTCAATTTGAATAGGACAGATACAAATGCATAGAAAGAAACCACAAGTTAAAATATACACAAAAGGGAGTCAATGCAGACCATAAAGCACAGAATTTGAGTCAAGAGACAAGGCACCGAGAAGCATAGAACCATACCAAGTGAGTAGAAATGGCTCGTCCAACTTGTTGATAAGGTTCAGAATTACATTGTCATTAGTCACCAAGTCTAATCTTGGCCCAGGAAACTGACCATTTATAAGAATAACCTTCAAAGAGTAAACATTAAAACATCAGAATCAAAGTTCCAATGAACCTCTCTAGAATGTAGTAGCATAAAGCAATCCAAGAATAGATCCTAGATCCAATAAAAGTAGATTGGTTACCCACCTGCTGGGGACTGCCCAGTGGAGAAAGAGTCCCATAAGTCACAGTCCATGTGTAGAACTTGTATGCATCTTCTGCTTGCACACTTAATAATGCAACAACAAAGCACAGAAGATGTAGCAAACTAGTGCTTCCCATTGTGTCTACTGAAAATGACATTTGAAAAACACACTCACATTACTTCACACTTCAGAGAAAACGAAAGAAAAAATGCTGGGAACTAGGAACTACAAATGAAACATTATCTTTGAGTTTATATAAAAGGAAACAATTTGGAAGTTACCAGATCTGGGTTTTGCTGGAAGAGTGACTTACTCCAACACTTACTTACACCCGCTAAGATTAGGAGCCGCCTTAATATATACAAAAATGAAAAGGAGTGGTAAAACATGATTGTATTGCACTTGTTAAAAGATAATTATTATTTTAATAATAATTTGAGGATTTTGTTTGTTTTTTAAGATTGCAAATTGATCATTCATGTTCGGCGCGTTTCACGCGTTTCCGCGTTAGTTGTTGCTTCCAGCTAACGAAATACTATGCCTCTACGAATTATGTCTTCTTAACGTAGAACATAAAACATTATATTAAAGTGAACTTTGAAGCCTTCTCCAAACTTAGTACCCTCCTAAGTATTGTAACAAAACTTATTTGTTTTTTTTAAAGTTGTAATATTAGACAAATAATATTACAATGTGGATTTGTTTTGCGTAAGGAACATAATTTAACTCTTTTAGGCAACTCTGCCCTTGTGAAAATAGGGAAGTATCCATAAATTTCATTCGAGTTTACACTATCATTATACCCCCCAAAAAGAAAAGTTTCGATCTATTAAACTATAACTACTACATAATACTCCCAAAAAGATGACGGGTAGTTAATGTAAGTGACTAATTGTCAAAAAGAAAAGAAGCACCGACAAGGCAATTATTTTGAATTTTGTTGGGAGTGATTTGACGAAGATATTTGTATTTATAATATTCCATAATGTTTCAAACTACGTCCATGTGAAGTTCATAAAGGGTGCAAAGAACAACTTCAATGCAGTATAATATATATTTTTTTAACTACTTGAATTTAAAATGGGAAAATTTTATAATAATATAAGGTTGAAAATAAAACAAAAGTGAACAGAAGCGAAGAGATGCCATGATCGCAAGTGCATAAAATTGTAAATTAACCAACCGACCGAGAAGCGAATAAAACCTCAACTAGATTTCTAAACTACTCTTTCAATAATTTGAAGTGTTGATTTAAAAATTAGAAAATAATTTAAATGTATTGTATCATAAAAGTGTATTAATTATTTAAAAAAATACAATCAATATAATTTTCTTCCACTTATATTGTAAAAGAAAAGTATGGCTTTCTCGTAGTAAAACATGAAAAAAGCAATTTTTGTTTCATTTCAGTGGTCTACTATTTTTAGTTAATATTAGATGCAATAACACCATGCAACTTCCGAGGACATCATGATAAAGTTTTTTTATCCGATTATGGTGAAAATTTTAAAAAGCTACGAAAACAGAGGTAGGCCAAGCCAACTAATGATGGGCACATATATGATGAGATATTGGATCATAGGTTGGATTTTTCAATTGCTGATTATCAAATAATCTTTCAAAGGGGTGCAAATATTTTAGGGGCGATTAAGGATGAATTTTTAACATGCCTGAACCAGTTAACCATCTTAATATTATAATTTATCAAATTTTGAATATTTCAAGAATATCAATATTCATTTAATATTTTTTATTTTTTTATCAGATTATATCGTTTATCACAATTATTCTCTTTTGTCTTTTCTTATTATTTCTCTCTAGATGTATACACTTCTTGAGTGTTTACAAATTAATATTTTTTAGATATAATGTATTCTCTCCAATCTTATTTATAATTTTTTAATTAAATCACATAAATTTTTAAAAAATTAAAAATTATTTAATGTATTAGATTTAAAAAATTCATTATAATAAATATAAATAAAAATACTTCAAAAAAATTTGTATAATTTTGTTTACAAAATATCTTATAATTAAATAGAATTGGAGAGCATTATTTTAAATACTACATATAGTTTTCATGAAATGTCTTATGGTTCACATTTAAGATCTTAATTACTCAATTTAGATAATGCATTTTTTAGTAATATTATTTTTTTATTTCTTTCTGTCGTATCTTTTATCTTACACTTTTCTCCTTCTATTCTTATATTTATAAAAAATTATCAGGCTTTATATAGACTACGTTAATTTCCCGTTTAGACAGAAGTTAATGATGTGAACTTATTTAGCATGAAGTATAATACTGCTAAATTGACTGGTTAGACTGGGTTTTGGCTTAACCTTAAACCATGACCTAAAATGTTAGTTTTTGCTATTTACTGGGACCCTTTCGCTAACACTCAGCATGAACCACAATATTAGAAATAAGCCAACAAAATTAGACTAGCCATTACATGAAATATACGATTTTTTAGGCACTGGATCAATTGTCAGATGCAGAAACTGCCACTTCTACAAAAAATTAATGCTTTGAAACATATCATGTCACAATGTATTACTTGTTCGACATATCCTCAGATTGGTCTAACTGTTACTGTTGCATATCCACATTTCAGCTTCTTTTTTTTCATTATCTTGGAGTTCATACACTGTTTTTTCACTTGTTGTCATTGTATGAAACACTGAATGTGCGAGACATAGTTAGCTACATCTTTCCAACCGGACCAATGATGAGTAGAGAATGCATTAAGTTTGATTTTGATTGCCGATTAGAAGTTAGTAGCATTCATTGGCTCCGTTTATAAAGTTATTAATAATTCTAAATCCTCCTAATTATTAAATGAAAAAATATTTAATATATTTTATGTTTGGAATACAATAACAGATTAATATTTTTATTTAATACAGAATTATTAACAAAATTATTAGGAGGATCTCTAAAGTTGTATATTTACACCTTTAAGCATTATTATTGCTCAATTGCTCACCTCTGTATGATTCTTTTTGGCCACGTTATTTCTGTAACTCTTTATTTTTCATGCTTCAGAGAGGCTACGCTAATCCTTACCTTCCTGTGCTTATCTCTACCACTTTAATGAAAACGGCACCGTTAGCTTAAAAGAATGCAAAAAGGAAATGAAAGTGCCACGAAGGCTGCAAGGTTTCCACGTCTTCTCAGAGTTCTACACGTGTAAGTCAGACACAAAACTACCATGTTGACAACCATTTCCACCGAAAGACCACTATATGAAGGGAAAACGAAACTAGTAGCTCCTGCTCCTACCCTTGGACACCAACTTCATTTCATCACCATCTTTGTTATGTCTAAAGAAGCAAAAGCAGAAACACAACCTTTGACTACACCCACTTGTTCCTCAGGTGATTACTTGATCGTGTTTTATGTTATTTAATTTGTAGCAATAGTATTTAGAATTGAAAATTGAAGATGACTCAAACGTTCACGGGTCCCACTTTGATTTTGTGGTGTAGATGTTGACAATGACATAGTGAAGGATTTAGTCTTGTGGAGAAGAAAGAAACTCAATGCAACTGTTCTTGTAGTGGCGACAACAACATGGGTGTTGATGGAAGTATATGAATTCAACTTCCTCACTGTAATCTCATGGGTGGCCATATTTGTTGTTGCTTCAATATTCCTCTATTCCAACATGCTTGGAATTTTGGGCAAGTGAGCACCTTTTTCAACTTGCTCTTATTCTAATGAAAAATTGTTCATGTTTTATGCAATATATAGTAACTAGCTTCTTTTATTCTTTTCTTCTGTGGGTGTGAAATTTAGGGAACCCCCGAACTTGTTGAGGTTGGAATTGACTGAAGAAACAATTTTGAGAATGGGAAACACAGTTCGAGCTTGGATTGAAGAAGCAATAAGGTGGGTGTTCCTTGTAAGCGTAGAGAAAGATTGGCCTGTGTTTGTTGGGGTTGAGGCTGGATTGTGGTTACTCTCTTGCGTTGGAAATTGCATGGACCTCCTAACATTGGTTTTTATAGGTAACGTGGTCATATTCTTTAACCATTATATTTGTTTCTCTCTCGACTCACTATCTGTTTATTTTAATTTTGGTGTATAGGTATATTAGTGAGTGCGATGGTTCCATTAACTTATGTGAAGAACGAGGACAAGATCAAGAGATTCGGGGAGTGGTTGAGGGAGAAACACAAAAGATGTCATGAGATTATCGATGAGAAGGCCTTCAACAAGATTAAAAGCAAAATAGTGGAGAAGAAAACAGGGTAATTTGCTTCTGTAGTTTGTATGTAAGATATAAATGCACCGTTATGTAATGTTTATTAGTGAATAAGATAAGATTACTATTGCTATGTTTTGGTAATGTTGTGTATATATATATCGTGACTTCAACACAGTGAAATTATAAATTTAATTATAAGTAATTAAATAAATGTGGATCCGTGGCGCAATGGTAGCGCGTCTGACTCCAGATCAGAAGGTTGCGTGTTCGATTCACGTCGGGTTCAATTCCCAAATATTTTTATTTTAGCCTCTTTAATAATATCTAGCCATTCTTTTTAGTGATAAAAAGGTACATCTAGCCTCCCACAGTTTTAAGTTTGAACTTACCCTCCAAAATCCAAATGGGTGTGTGTGTATATTCTGTGCTGTTGCTAATATCGAAATATCGTGGAAGGTCAAGTTCTCTCTAACTTGTCCAAGTTCATTTTCATGGTTTCAAGTTTGAACGTCCCCATAATGATTATAGGGACAACTTTCCGAACCCGCTAAAAATAAAATTTTCTTATAAATTATAATATCTAATAATAATAATATATTAAAATTCACGATTTAATATAATTTTTTATTGTATTCTTTGGGACATATATCAAAAAATCGTGTAATAATTGATCGATTAAAGTTGTTTTTATTTATAACGGCTTGGTTCCATTTGACACTAATGAGAAGTTATTAAGAGATATATAATCTGATTAATGAACTCACCGTACATTAATTTAGTAAAGTGCCAGTCTGTTAATCATTCTTTTAATTGGAAAAAGGTGAATTTAGATAACTTCACTTAATTTTGATGTAAGGTTTTATTGATTATCAAAACAATGTACTCTGTCTATTATTCGGTTTTACTAATATCTTCTGTAGCATTAATTTTAATTGTTTGAAATTAAAAAATAAGTTATTCACTGAACTTCTATTTTCAAAGAAGTAAAGAATATTTAGGAATGATGTTTCAGAATCTATCGTAGATTTATGCAATAATTTTAATGATGTTCCTTCCCGTGAATTGGCGTGTGAAGCCATTAATGTCAAGTGTATGCATTAGCTAAAGGTAAGATAACAGAAAGACCAAAAACATTGGTCATCGTTAGTAGCAGCGTAGGTAGCACCTTCCTACCAATTCACAACGTCTTTTGCTTTAAAAAACAAACTCGTTCTTGTTGCTTCAGATCATATAACCCGCACATCATTTGCATCCGTAGCGGTGTTTTACTTCGATTTCCGAGAAAGTTTCGATTTTGCCTTCTGTGTCTTAGCAGTTATGGATCTGTTCAGCGGAGGTGCGGTGGGAGCAGTGATGGGAGAGATGTTAAAAGGGGCGCTTGAAACCATAAAAAAGGGTAGAGAGTTCAAACCCACCCTTGAAAGCAACATAGAAACCTTGAACAATTTGGCTCCTATTGTGAAGGAGATGAAGAGATACAACAAGATGTTGGATCGCCCCATGAAGGAGATAGAAGGTTTGGAGGCCCATATGCAAGCTGGAGAAGAGCTTGTTCGCAAGTGTTCCAAATTTGGTCCATGGAGAATTTTCTCCTTCCCTCGTTACCAGACAAAGCTTAGGAACAAGGATGAGAATCTGAAGAGGCACTTGTCTATGAATGTGTCAGCTGAGAATAAGAGGGACTTGATGGATATTCTGTACAAAGTGGGACAAATTCTTGAGATTTTGCTCAGTAAGGAGAATTTCGGGCAATATCATGGGTATCAGGTAAGGGGTCTACGTGGTGCTCCTGAAGAACCAGTGTGTATTGGAATGGATGAGCCTTTGAACAATTTGAAGATGGACCTGCTCAAGGATGGTGTCTCGGTTCTTGTTTTGACTGGTTTGGGTGGATCCGGCAAAAGCACTTTAGCAAAGAAGATCTGTTGGGACCCTCAAGTCAAAGGTAATATACAAAATTGATGATACTGATCACTATTATTTTTGGAGATAATATACAATTTTTTATGTATACATTTTAGTTATTATGTGATGTATTACTTATCTAAATTATTACTCTTCTAGTTTGGTGAACTCACTGGCTGATTTGGTTATTTTTGGCATGCATTGCGGAATAGTACAACCTCAAATTTTCCTTTGTTAAGAAAGCTATTTATGCTTTGAATAGGCAAATTCGGGGGAAATATTTTCTTTATCACCGTGTCAAAAACGCCCAACTTGAAGACCATTGTGCAGACACTATTTGAATGCTGTGGATGTCCCGTGCCTGAGTTTCAAAGTGATGAAGATGCAACTAACCGAGTGGGAGTTCTGCTGAGGCATGTTGGGAAATGTCCAATATTGTTGGTACTGGATGATGTTTGGCCTAACTCGGAGGCCCTTCTTGAGCAGTTTATAATCCAGATACCTGATTATAAGATTTTGGTGACTTCAAGGATTGCTTTTCGAAGATTTGGCACCCCATGCCAGTTGGACAAGCTTAGTCATGATGATGCAGTATCCCTTTTCAGGCACTTTGCTAACCTGAACGACAAGCTCAGCTCAGACGTACCCGATGAAAACCTTGTCCATGAGGTGCATTTTCTTCCGCTTCTCCCAAATATTCACTCCAGTGAAACATGATTCGAATTTAGATGCAACATGCAAGTCAAATTTATTCTTGTTTGTGATGTTAATTCTTCTGCATTGGGTGATAAAGAAAAATATCAATGAAGCCCCCCTCCAAAGCTGTCCACTGACTAGTATACTAGCAACCTAGTTACCTAAGCCTTTTGTCTTATTCTACTTTTTTGCACTAAAATGCAGATAGTGAAAGGTTGTAAGGGTTCACCATTGGCGCTTAAGGTCATTGCTGGATCACTCTGTCAGCAGCCTCTTGTGTTGTGGCAAAATATGAAGGAACATTTACAAAGTCAATCCATTCTGGAGTCTAGTAGTATTGACTTGCTTTGTCGCCTTCAACAAAGTTTAGATATGTTGGAGGATAAGTTCTCCATCAACGAGAAGGTGTGCTTCGTGGATTTAGGGTTGTTTCCTGAAGACAAAAGAATCCCTGTTGCTGCCCTCATTGATATGTGGGCAGAACTGTATAACCTTGATGAAAATGGCAGGAATGCAATGACCATCATCCATGATTTAACCACTAGGAATTTGATTAACGTCATGGTTACAAGGTACACCCCCTCCCCTCTTTCCTTGTTGGTTATTTAATGGTTAATGTAATTATTGGCACCTAAAACATGAAACTACTCAAGCTTGACCCATTAAGACAAATTTAAAGCTTGAGTTGGTGTATTAGTTCTTTTATGATTTGATTGTTTTCTTTTCCTTTATCAAACTTATTTTGAAGTATTTTTTTAAGTCTAAACAAATATAGGCAGATAGGCACCTTCAATGCTCTAAAGGTGCACAACATATTTTCACTATGAACATAGAAATACCAAAACGTATTGGTAGATTGATGTCCTTTAACAACATTGTGCTCTCCACCTGATTACGCAAAAATAAACGGAAGTGTAAGTTAGAAATATTACAATTTGACATGGTTGATAAACTTAATAAATACAAAAGACATATGTATAATATATACTTAAGTTAAATGTAGCAGTGCAAATTCAAGAAGAATGCATGGACATCTGTAACTTTCTTCTGCTTGACATTATGAAGCAAAGTAAAATTATGTTATCAAAAGGAATAAAATTGTTCATCTTGTTGATTGGTTTGGTCCTTCCCTTGTTGTCCAGGAAAGTTGCGAAGGAGGCAGACATGTACTACAATAACCACTTTGTCATGCTGCATGATCTCCTCAGAGAGCTAGCGATTCATCAAAGCAAAGGGGAACCATTTGAACAGAGAACAAGGCTAACTATTGATGTGGATGGAGATAATCGTCCTGAATGGTGGATAGGACAGAATCAGCAAGGAACCATTGGCTGGATGTTTTCATTAGTCACAAGATTGTTGGTAAAACAGAAACATCTAAGAGTTGCTGCCCGCATATTGTCTATTTCAACTGGTAAGTTTCTCTCTGTCTACATTATATGCTCATAAACAAATGAGAAATGCTACTTCCCGTTTCATAATCATTTTCATTTAACGTTGTGCTTATAAACAAATGAGAAATACTACTCTCTGTTGCAAATACTTGTCAGTTATTGAACAACAATTAAGAAATTCATTAACTATTCTTGATTTTAAAGCAATATAAGTTTATATTGCTAATCAATACTCTTAGAACACTTGAAGATTTAAAAATGGAATTTTTTTTATTAAAAATAGGGTGTTGTTAACCAGTATTCTAAGACATTGGTTAAAGAATTATAAGATAGTTTTTATTAGAAATCATGTTAAAAATACATTAGAAATTACAGTATGAGTGCCTTAATAACATTTTTCTATTTTTTTATTCCTTAATTACTGCTCTAAGCATTTGTTAACATTTTCCTAAAAGATATTGTTAATGTACTGCTACCGTAATTTTCAATACACCTCTAACATAATTTTTAATAAAAAAAATCATGTAATAATTCTTTAATTGGTGTCCTTAAGGCTCTTGTTAGCTAGATCCTAAGTATATCTGACTATATTATCCTTTTGCTCTGTTAGTGCTCTCTCATCCCACTTCATGGAGATATCAAGAGATAAGGATAAAGGTGGAAAAATGTAATTAGGGCCTTCTTGGTAGTATAAAGTGACATATTTTGAGACAAACAGCATTTTAAACTTCAAGTGATACGTTGAAAACTGAGGGATTATTGAGAAATATGTCATACTTCATCTCCCATTGTTGATGCAAATAATGATGCTTTTGCAGATGAAACATTCACTTCAGATTGGTGTGACATGCAACCTGATGAGGCTGAGGTTCTGATTTTAAATCTTCACTCGAGCCAGTACTCGTTACCAGATTTCACTGAGAAGATGAGTAACCTTAAAGTTCTAATAGTCACAAATTATGGCTTCCATCATTCTGAAGTAAACAAGTTTGAGCTACTTGGCTCTTTATCCAACTTGAGAAGAATCAGACTAGATAAGGTTTCAGTCCCTCCCCTTTGCATGCTGAAGAATCTGCGAAAATTGTCCCTTTATATGTGTAATACAAAACTGGCTTTTGAAAGCTGTTCTATCCCAATCTCAGATGCAATGCCAAAGCTAGTGGAAATGAGCATTGACTATTGCAAGGATCTGGTTAAATTGCCTGATGGGGTGTGTAACATTACCCCATTGAAGAAGCTTAGTATCACTAACTGTCACAAGCTTTCAGCACTGCCACAAGAAATTGCAAAACTAGAGAATTTGGAAGTGCTAAGGCTGTGTTCCTGTTCTCATTTGGTAGAGATGCCAGACTCTGTTGGAGGGCTTAACAAGCTAAGCTGTATTGACATCTCAGACTGTGTTAGTCTTACAAAATTACCAGATGACATTGGTGACTTGAAGAAGCTTGAGAAGCTCTACATGAAGGGTTGCTCAGCTTTGTGTAAATCAGAATTGCCATACTCGGTCACCAATTTTGAACATTTAAAGCATACAATACATGTGATCTGTGATGAAGAAATGGCTAAGTTATGCGAAAATTCCCTTACCATTTCCAATTTGAAGGTAGAGATGGCTGAAGTTGATATTAACCTAAATTGGCTTCATTAGTTAGTTCCTCAGACTTGTATCCTGAAATTGATGATCGCTAGTAATCATGTCGAAATTTGAAATTAATGTTGCTGGCTGTAGTGAAATAAAAAAGCAGGAGTTTGTGTTAGGTGATGCTGTAAAAGTCGTAATGCATCAATGTGGCTTGTACTTGGAAGAACACTTCATAAGTTTTTTTAGAATGGTTAGGTACTTTTTTTGGTAATAAACTCTGAAAATATTTGTTTGACCAAAATCTTTATATGTAAATAAATAAATTAAATCGTAATTTTGGTGTTTCACTTGTGTTTTGTCATAGTCCCTAAACAAAAAATATACATTTTTGTATATGAAAAAAAATCCGAGTTGATTTTTACTGTACAATGAAAATATAACGATATTAAAATTTATTTAATGACCAAATCTAAAAGTAATGTTAAAATAGAAACGGTATGAATTATAATGTTGACAGCTTTTTATTTATAACTTCAATAATTAGGGACACTGAATTATCAAAGAAAGGTTGGAAAGGTTTTGTCTGACTGGCCCTTGGATTTTTATAAGTGGTTTTTTTAATTGTAATAAGAACTTGGGCTAGAAAGAATGTAGCCCACAAAACGATTGATCCGTTTGACAATTTCAGTGAGGGTAAGCGCGGCCCAACCGGATCACGTTAAATAAAAAATCTCTTTCGAAACGTGATTCGGTGACGAAAGCCCAACTTTATGCATGTGACAGAGCATCAAAAGCCAAAATCCAAATACACACAAACTTGTAACTTATCCAAACCTGAGATCAGTTTCCTTTCTCGTGCATCCAAAAATAAATATTATTATTCTCTTAAACCAAAACGCAGAGACAGGATGGGAGGGTAATTTCGCCACAATCAGAGGGGCAAAATCGGAAAAAAGACAGCGCAAACGAACTAATGTAAGAATTTTTTATTCGCAAGTTTTAGACCTCATTAATTATATTTTTATTTCATCATTAAAAAATATAAGAAGAAAATGAAAATTATTGTAAAAATAAAAAATTATTAATTGAAATAGTAAGGAGAATTGGGCACGTGCGGCGCTGGCAACTGCTTCGTCCTACTCCTTATTCCTTAACGAGTAACGAGAAACGAGCAAGCGAAACAGAGAGAGAAGGTTTATAAATTATATATTTCCAGTTGTGTCCCTGGCTGAGGAATTTCCATTTTCCAATTCCTTTTTCTTTAGCGTTGAGACTGAGTCAGAGAGTGAGTCACCCGCTACAAGGCAACTCGTGCATTGAAGGGTTGGTTAACTCCCTCTACGCTATGGTTTCCGAATCGGAGCTTATCGGCCGCCTCCGCGAGTTTCTCCGGAGCTCCGACCTCAACACCACCACCACCGCCACCGTCCGCCGCCAGTTGGAGGCCGATTTCGGAATCGATTTATCCGACCGAAAGGCATTCATTAGAGAACAGGTGGACTTGTTCCTCCAGAGCGAGCACCACCAACCACAACAAGAAGATTCTCCCCGAAACGACGACGTAGAGGCAGAAGAAGAAGATGCGCCCAATCCTGAACAAAGCCAAGGCTCTGATTCCAAGGAAGAATCGGAAGAAGAAGATGATGATAACGATGACGAAGAGGAAGAGGAAACCAAACCCAAGGGCGCCAAGAATGGGAAGAATAAAGCACGGTTAGTCTGTTCTTGCTTCTTGATTCCTTTCCTTTCGATTTTCATGCTATTTTCTTTGAATTTTCTGATTCTGTGTGTAAGGATAAAACAAATTTGATTGACAGTTACTGGTTTCTCCTTAAAGGTCTTATCTTCGAGCATAGATTCCCTGCCATTTAGCAATCAATAGCATCATATCGATTTATTTTATTTTATTTTTTGGAATTTTTTTTATCAATTTTAATTTCGCTGGCATTCGCCATTGACACACGCACATGGCTTTCAGTTATTTTGAGCAATTGGGGTCCACTCCAAGACTATGCTACGTTCCTCTCTATTGGTGTTTTCCATAAAAATTGTGTGCTTTTCAAGTTAGTGACGAGGTTACTTGCCTTGCAGGTTTACATCAACACAGTTTTCAATTTTTTGCTTTTTTTATACATCCATATTCATCCCATTCTCTTCTTTTCCTAACAATTCAATCTTTTTATGCATCAATTCCACGCTTTCTTGCCTTGTAGGTTTACATGAACAAGAAACTTTACAGTTTTAGATTTTTTTATGCACGCATATTCATCTCATTCTTTGCTTTGCCTAACGATCTAATCTTGTTAGGCATGCTTTCTTGTATGGTAATGCCAATGACACATCAAATTATACTTTTATTTTTTCGGATTTTCTGCTCTTGTGAAGATTGTAATAACATTTTTTCATAAACACTATACAACTTACTGGTCTTCTGTTCTGCCTCTCATGCCCGGTAATCACACTGTCCTCAAATTAAGACTTCAGAATACCTGTTCCATAATGGTGGATAAGGGCTTTGTTTTCTCCCCTGCCCTTCCTTTTTGTAACTGTTTATTGTGAAATTTTAAGTAATTTTTTCTGTCATCTAACAAGTTTCCGCTCATGTAGACAACTTGATGAACCAAATTAGTAGCCTTTGCAAAATTAGTATATATTTCTGTAAATTATGTTTCCAAGAAATTCCTTGGAAAACTATAGATCATGAAATGGGATATTCTAATCCCTCTTCCTCAATATTTGCTAAGTCACTTTAGCTAATCATTACTAAGGTTGGATCCCTGAAGTGTAATGCTGATGCTTATGCAATTATTGCACAATTGCCAGCAGGAGAATTGATCCACAGGCGGCCTTTTAAAGTTGTAGAGTCTCCTGGTCAAATTCTTTCCCTTCCGCAAAATATAAAATAATGAAAAAGCATGTAAAACACTACCATATATTTGTCATTGTATTTATACATTGCTTATCTTCAAAGATTTTTCGAAGGAAAGATGATCTGAAAGCTGATGTAACTTTATCCAGACCATTGGCCTTGGCTATCTTAGTCCAAAAGAAAAAAATGTATCGACTTAAACTGCAGGTTGATACAGTGTTTTGCTAGGACTATCATCTGCGAACAACTATTGATTTGTATTGTTCTGGAGCCACAAGAATATATCATTCTTAAAAGGTTTCTAAAGCACTCATGAAAAATTTCTCCATAGCAAATGTTAAGATTTTGATTCTTATTATGATGCCGCACGCTTATAATTTCTGGCTCAAAGAAAACTGAAAACAAAATTAAAACAATAAATAAAAAAAGAGATGAAACAACTAGTTCATAATCACCGACCAGGCAACAACAATCAAAGAAACCAAAGACAGCCGAAGAGAAATTTATCTATACGTAATGATGTTTATGTTACAACCTTGAGAAAAAAAAATTAAGAATTTTTATTCATCCTGAATTTTCAATGTCAAAAAATACTAACCAGTATCCATGGGACAATGATAAAAGGAGAAAGGATTTATTATATCAACACAAATAATTTTATATAGATTTTTTAAGTGATTGAAAACATTTAGCAGGTTGTACTGAATATTTCTTAACTAGTGGCTTGTTAGGTGATGAAGTAAACCATCAGTTTTGTTTCCTCTTGTTCTTCAGATCTAACAAATTAGGCGATGAGGTAGTAAAGAAAAGAGGTGGTGGATTTTGCAAGTTATGTAGCTTGTCTCCGCAACTTCAAGAATTCATTGGAGCTCCAGAAATGGCCAGGACAGAGGTATATGTAATTTCTTTTTCTAAATGAGAAATTACACCCATATTACTGGTCATGGATACCTACAATTTATGTGAAAATGTGTGTATGATGTAACTCTGTTCCTGGCCTTAGGTTGTTAAGCAACTATGGGCTTATATTAGGGAGAAAAATTTGCAAGACACAAACAATAGACGAATTATAATTTGCGATGAACCATTGCGCGCCCTTTTCAGTGTCAATTCGATTGACATGTTCCAAATGAACAAAGCTTTGTCGAAGCATATCTGGCCATTGGATTCAGATGATGGTATGCTCATGTAACCTTGCCCTTCTTTTTTACTATTATGCTACTCTGCATATGATGTTGGATTTTTTTTATATTGTTATTTTTAATTTTTTTTCTAGACCAGACACCTAATCCGTTTTTAAATTCCTCCAGGTGGGCCTTATTGTGATTGTAGGGATTCTAATGCCTTGAAATTGCGAAGTTTTCTTTTCGAGAGTTTCTTATCAAAGTATTGTTTTGGGTCCTGTTATTATGCATTATAAAATACCACTGATCTTTGTGCACCAGACCCCTTTACATATTCTTGCATTAAGATAGAGCTTTTACTGATTTATAATAATATATATATTTCCATGGTACTGATTGTTTACTTTGATTTGATGACACTGCAGACTCGTGCTTCCCTGTTACATTCTACTAGTCAATATTTTGTTGATAATTTGAATAAAAAAAAATGTTTAAACTGCATCTCTTGATATAGTGGTCCAGGTGAAGTCTGCATCAAAGGAAAAGCAGAAGAAGCAAGAGAGAGAAGATGGTATGAGTAATGAATTTGATTAATGTTTTATATTATTTTTCTACCTGATTACAGTCCCTTCTTAACCAATTATAAATTCGTCTGCAGTTTCTTACCCCACCTTACATATTTTATTTGTATATTGTTTGTTCGGAGTATTCTTCTTTTGAATCGGCAAAAAGAAATCCATGTTTTTATTCTGGAAATCATTTATGCACACAGTGGATAAACTTTTAGGGAAATTTATGGTATGAGGTTGTAGTTTTTCTATTCCTGTTCATACATGTAGTCAAATGAATACAATCAATTACTTATGGTGTACTACACCTATAACTTACCTCTGACAGATTCAGATGAGCCAAAAAGAAAGGAAAAACGGCAGAAGGTAGGGAAATCAGGTTTTCTGGCTCCCCTTCAGCTATCTGACGCCCTTGTAAACTTCCTTGGTACTGGAGAAAGTGAGTTATCAAGAGCTGATGTCATAAAAAGAATGTGGGAGTACATAAAAGGAAACAATCTTCAGGTTTGTCATTTCTCTAAATTGTCCTACTGTCCTATATATATTGCTTAAATAAACCTTTATTTGTCTCTCTGCATTAGTGGTAATGGCCATGTGAAAAGCTTAAAAAGTTGTATACAAATAATCGGACATTTTGGTTGAATAAAATAATATCAGCTACACCACAGTTTATGCCACACAGTTAACATAACAATTTCAGATGGCGTGCCTCAAGCAAGGCACTAATTGGATTATAACTCTACCTTGTATGTGATAATGTGAAAAATCATCACAAGATGTACTTTTGTATTTCATGTTAGCTGTAAACCCAATCATAAAGCCTCTAACACATCATAACCAAGTCCACGGACATGGACTTTTCCAGAAGTCTTTGACTTTCCAATGCCTACCTTTGACTGGATTAAATGACACTCATTATCCTTCTTTGTATATGTATTTTTGTGCTTATCCACTTGTCTCTTTTTGTTTCTGAATTTCCCTTTCCAAGTTGTAAAGCTTTTAACTCCAATTGACCAAGAGAATCAAGACGTTGTAGAATTGCATAATTTGTTCAATGGGTGTACTTGGAGAGAAAATGGAATGAGTGGAGAGGATAAAGATGAAATTTAATTGACAATATACATTCCATTATGTTTAAATGAATTGTGAATCTCATCCAATTCGATTGTAAGTGTACTGGTCGAAAAGTAGTAAAAGGATTTTTGAATTTTTAGAATATCGTCTCACACAAATTATTTTTAATTGCTGTGAATATTATAATTTAATTGATTAAATCCAAATAGTGCATAATAAAATAAAATTGAAAAAGAGAAAGTAATCAAAAGATAAAGAAAATAATGCAATTTCTAACAAAAAATTATTTGAGATGAACTTAAGATATATGATTTCACTTTTACACATTTTTGTATACTTTCAGTTTAATCTTAATTTCAATTTTCCTATGACTATCAAACACATTAAAACTACTAATATCACATGATCATGCAGTATTAACATTATTTGAAAACTATTATTTTCAGTAGTCATGTAAAACAAAAAGAATGGGAAAGCATAAGAGTCTATGTTATTTTAATAACGATTAAAAAGAGAAAAATTAAGTTTGATTTAATTAATTTTATGTCTTGTTTTATCCTATAGTTTCATTAATTACATGTGGTACAGTTGTTTACAATACAATTAATTATGATGTGTTAAAAATAGTCAATTTTAAACATATAAATATAAACATAATAAATAAGAAAAAAATCAATTTAAAAAGAAAATCTCAATTGTCATTGAGAAGAGATCTTAAAAATAAAGAGATAAAAAGAGTTCTTGTTCTTAAAAAGCACTCTCAATCACTTACTTAAACTTCAGAAAGGTATTTTATATTTTCATGAACGATCTCTACTCTCAAATTTCTTTAAAAGTAGACTAGGAAAAAGTGTCTTGTATCAAATGTGTAAAGCTCATCATATAGGAGTTAGAATTCAAGAAAATGTAATGATTTATTTTTTTAAAAATATATTTAAACTCTAATAGAAAATATGACTTATCTATAGAGAAATATATGATTTTGTGTTACTAATTTTGGATTTCAGGTTTACCCTCATAGACAGTTGAAAATCTCCTAATCAATTAGGGAAAAAGCATGGTTGTGCATAATCATGAAACACTTTTAGGTTGACTTTTAAGCAAAATTGTGCTTCCTGCTATGTGTAACCTTATTTTTTATCAAATTTTTTTCTAATTGTGACTAAATTCTTTCTTAATTCATTAAATAATGGCAAAATCAGTACTAATTCTTCATTAAATATAGGCCAAGTTTCAAAATATGGACTTATTAACTAATTTTGATATTACTAGTTAAGTAGAGAAATTATGAGACTAACAAGTTGAAATTAGTCAAAACAATGTTGTTCAGATTTTTTCTTTGATCTATGATTATCATTGTGATTATTTGTTCTTAACCATAAACTGTGCTCATTTCTGAATAATGAATTTGTCAGTCAGCTACTCCTGCCAAGAGTTTAAACGATTGTGTGAGGGGTCCTGAGGGCTTCATTGTATTTCTAACATGCCCCATCATGCAAGAGCCGCCCTCTGGGTTTGAGCTTGAAGCATTGACAATGCTGGCTACCTTTAAGCTGCACATTTGAACTTTCTGTGGTTTTATTTTGTGTTATACATTCTAGATAAAACACCAGTTAAATTTCTGATTGCTTTGTGAAGGATCCTTCTGACAAGAGGAAAATAATATGTGACGAGAAGCTGAAAGAACTCTTTGATGTTGACTCCTTCCATGGTTTCACAGTTACAAAACTGCTGGCTCCTCATTTTATAAAGACAGAGCAGTGAGTTGCTTGTACATTGTTATTTCTGTCAAGCATGGGAGAGATGGGGAATTTTGTTTGTCAAATTAGTTTTTTAAGGTCTTCTTTAGTGTCTTTTAGGCAGTCCGCCAACAGGAGGAATAGGAATTAGTAAAGTGACAGATTTTCAGTAATTTTTTTTTTCGAAGTACTTGATGTTACGTGACCTTTTATTTTATTTATTCTATATATCCTGTTTTGCCACTTCGCAGTTGAAGATTTTGTATATTTTTAGTTCATGAAGCTGCGAGGACCATGTTAACTTCATATTTTACTGGGCCATTTGGCCTTACTACAGAGTATCGATACACTATATTGTTTCAGAAAGCAAACGTAATTGCAGCTCTCGAGATAAAATCTGGATCTGGCAGTCTACATAGGAAACCCTTGTAATTGTATTCTATCAGAAGCTGAAGGAAAAACACGTCAAAATTAGAGTTTATGACCGCAGGACCAAATCCGGTTAAGGCTTGTAGCATGTTGGTCATGATTATTCTATAAAAGGAATAATCATTTATATTTAAAGTTTTTTTGAAATTTTGATAAAAATAAGATTTTGAAAAAAAAAAAATGAAGTGAAACACTTGATTAGTGGTTCGGTGGCCTTTACTGTATATAAAAATAAATTAGTCCCTAAGTACCCAATAATCTTTTAATTGTAATATAATGAATGTTATGTAGGACTAGTCCGGGAAAAAGAGTATGATAGGCTTTATCTTATTTTATGTTTAATATATATTGATAAAGAATTAACTTTCAAGTTTTTAAGTGTTTAGTTGTTTATATTTGATCTCTTTAATTTTTTAAATGCTTAATTTAAGTCCTTCAGTTTAAAACTTTATTCGATAATTAATAAAAATATAATTGAAGTATAATATTTTTTATTAATTTATGCAAATGAATAAATAAAAATATACAAAATTTAAATAAACATATAAAAAATGTATGCTTAAAATTATTTTTAAAATTTTAAAGTGAATGATTTAATATCAGTATTTAAAAGATTAAAAATTAAATGTGAATAGTTAAAATTAAAGAAGTAAAATTACATATATATTTAAAGTATAAGAACTAAAAGTGTAATTATTTCTTTTTAATTTAATAACTATTTTAAAAATTTATATAAAACTTATTCAATATAACTAAATATAAAAAAAAAATGTCATGAGAATACTTCTATTCTTTTGTCTCTCTTCCTTTCCTTTTTTTTTTTTTTTTTTTGCAATTTTCAATGTTTATGTATAACTTGCCCTTCTTTCAATTTTTTTAATAAATTAAAGAATTTTCTTCGTTAATAAAATGCGACACACCAAATTAGATTAATTGGTGCGTTTTCATTTGTACAGTGGAGAGTTATTTTAGTTATAATAAACTGTCGCACAATGTACATAGCCGTCTTAGCTCAGCCGGTAGAGCGCGTGGCTTTTAACCACGTGGTCGTGGGTTCGATTCCCACAGACGGCGACTGTTTTAGTCACTAGATTTAAATTTCATTCTCCGGTCTTAATTTTAATTCTTTTACTTTTTAATTAAACAATTATATCATCTATTAAATTATTATCTAATTTTTAATGATAATACTATTTTTTTCTATTTATAATTAGAAGTGTTATTTTATTTAAGAATATTAGATTAAATTTATTCTCTTAAATAAAAATATTAGCTTTCTTTTCTAGTGATAAATGATTATTCGACATGGTAGTTTTAAATTGTTTTAGTTTTTAAACATTTTTTTAATTTATTTTCTATAAATAAAAAAAATTGTATATTAATCCTTCTATAAAAAATTATTTTTAAAATTTTGTTTCTATTAATATAATGACATTTTTTCAACATTTTTAAATAAATATTTTGAATCTATTAAAGAAACTTCATATATTTTTAATTCATTACATCAAGTTTTATTATACAAGTTAATGTCTTTTTATTTTAAATTCATGCAAGAATCATCTTGAGAAGATCTTATGTCTTGATCTATCTTTGCGTTATTTTTATCTTAAAAATTACTATTTATCTATTCTATCACATTATAATAATAAATCTCATTATTTCTTCTATCATTCTCATTTTAATACTATTTTAAAAAATTTAATATGTAGTTACATAAATGAATAAAAATAAGAATGATGATAATACTTCAGGTTGTATATTTTTTCTTTTTAAATATAATTTTATATTTTTAAAAATAAAAATATAAAAATTTGTTTTTATTTTTAGTTTTTAAAAGTAAAAATTACAATTACTTCTATGTTTTCTTTTTTTTTTATTTCTCTCATCACAGCTAATAAAAATTTAATCAAAAACAGTTTTAAAAACTAAATTACTAAAAAAAATTTATTTTTATTTTCTTCTTAAAAATAGTTTTATAAAATTATTTTAAAATATATTTTTAAAAAATTAAAGATTAAAGCTAAATCAAATAAGTGTTTAAAGAGTTATTCTAATTTTTTTTATCAATATATCAAAGATATAGAAAAAAAAAATTCTTAATTTTGTATATGGCTCAAGTGAACATAATTGAGATTTAAAAATTATTATGAGATATTATGAAACACACAAATAACAATACTAGAGATGAAAATGTTAAAGGCGATACTCATGTAAAAATAAATTAATACATAAAATTAAACATAAAAAAATATGAAACTTATTTAAAGAATTTAGAATACTCTTCTAAATAATAAAGATAAAAATGTTAAAAGTAATATTCATATAAAAATTAATCAATACATAAAGTTAAACATAAAAAAATGTAATAAATTATAAGGTTTATTTAAAAAATCTAAAATATTTATGTGAAAGATAAATATAATAAAAAAATAGTTAATTGACACTAATATGAAATTGTCATTGTAATAATAATAAAAAAATTTAAAATAATTTTTTTATAAAAACTAATATATATTTTTGTGTGGATATTATAAATGAATGTTTAATCTTAAAAAATAATTATTTTTCACTGCGAATTATAATCACAAGAATCTCACGCTATTTTTTACCTTATTTTTTGTTTTAAATTTTTAAAAATATAACATAGCAACCATAATGTGAGTTATGTCATTTGTATATACAAATCTTGAAAATATTATGAGATAAAATAATATTTGTCGATTACTGCTCCAGTGTTGCATATATTTAACGCAAGCAATGTGAGTTTACGATTAAATGGTACAATTGAATAAGCTTTATATAATTATTCAAAATTGTGATAATTTACAAATTTACTGCATTTTGATTTATTTACAAGGGAATATGGATTAGATGGTAAGTGATGTATATCCCTAGTTTCTCTCACCTGAAAGCATCATATCTATCCGGATCTGTTTCAGAGGACGAAGAATCTGTCCTATCATCTTGTACCATGATAAATGGGAAGCGAAGAAAAACAAGTGTTCCGAAAGACCTATGCTATTTCCCTAATAAGACAAATCCCAAACGGCGACCCATGAGCGATGCAAATAACAAACATAAACATGGTATAACAATATAAAGGGGAAAGTGAAGACAGAACCAATGGCTACCCGTAATCGTCCTCTGTTTTTGATACGCATATGGATGAAATGAATACCAGAGGAAAAAGGAAAGGAGGCATCTTCTTCATTGTGGTTTGTCTTTGCACAACATAAACTACACCAACCAAATCCCATCCCCTACGAATCCTTATCTCTAACATCATGGATTAGGGTAGGGTCCATATTATAACTATTAAAAGGTGTAGATTTTTTTCTGTGTTCATTGAAATGCTGAAAACAAATCAAGAATAATTCGTTTTTATTGAAACAAAGTATTTACTAAATAAAAATATTCAATGTTTAAGTTTTTCAAACATTTAAAAGAATATAATACAAAAGTTACATTAAAAAGATACTTTTAAAATAATATATTATTAAGGAGATTTTAATTCATTTTAAGCAGAGGAAATACATTTTAAAAGATAAAGTCTGTTTGTATTTTAATTAATTAATAATTCTATATTTAATTATGCCTGTGTACTCTCACAATTTTAATTTTTGGTTTTTAATGAATAATTATTTTTTTTTTTTGTAAAAATACACGTTCACTGTTCACACATAATTTGGTTTTTCTATATTAGCATTGGATAACAACTTTTCAAAATTAGTAAATGAGTAAAACATTTGAAAATTTCACTCAAAATAAAATATAAAAAGTCATTTTATTTTGTTTTTAGGTAAGTAATATCTGCCTACTTTAAACTTCAACAACCATCTGCGGTGATTTAAAATTGTCCAAATTTACTATTACAAACTGCCAAAAGTTACTTGCATAAATAAATAACACTGAGATAGTTTATTTCAAAATGTAATAAAGTTTTTCATAAGCTACTAAAAAATTTGAAGTGATCTTATTACCCCATATCAATGAAAAAGCCAGAGAAATCCTATCTATATCTTGTAACCATTGGTATAATGCATGTGGAAAATTACGAGATGCTTTTAAAACGCGCAGATGCTGAAATCATGGAATCCAAACTAGAAATGGAATCCAAAGTGCTGCCATCTGATCTGACGTTTGTCATGGATCGATCAAATTGATTAAAATTCTGGAAGCCACGAATGGGTGGTAGTGGAAGAAGACGACCACATAACCGCAGAAGAATAACAGCGTTTGTGAAAAGTTATTCTTTGCCATGTGTTGTTATTGCATTGGTAGTGACAATTGATTTTTGTAATCTGTCAGATTCTTATTTCGAAGATACACTAACCACAAGAACCACTTTTCTTTAGGTTAAGTTGTGTGGGGATAGAGAGATGATGAAAAGTAATAGGCCAATAGGGCATCATCAATCATCATGTTGATAAACATCAAAATTAAAAAATAACTTCAAAAGAATCTTGCACGTGACAGACATATCATGCTGCTTTTCATTTTTGGAAAATTATTACATTTACATCACTTGGGAGACCAAAATAACACACTTCATTCCTTTGATTTTTTTTCTCTGACTAATGAATCAATGAGTTAAAGTGGTTAAAAAAGTGTTGTTTGGATGATACAGTAAATTAAGTTTATAATATAAAATATATATTTTGCACACAGTAAAGATTTAAGTTAATATTTTTTTGAAAATTTTAATATTTAAAATATTAATTTTTAATAAATATTTCTTATAAATAACTTTTTGAAGTACAATAAAAAATTAGATATAAAAAATCCCTACAAACATAATGTGGATAAAATTTGTCTCTACGAGGGATACTGACATATGCAACACGAGATTCATGTGATAAGAGAATTAACACTTGTTTATTTGTGTGAGAGAAAGAAAACAGCGTGAATGATATACTTTTTATTTA